TTGACAACCAGCTCACAATCACCTTAGAATCCCCTTCAATCAATAGGTTCCCCACTCCTAGTTGATTAGCAATCTGAATTCCCTGTACTGCAGCCAATATCTCAGCTCTTGTAGAGTCCCCTATCCCTATCGGGCCTGAGAATAAGGATATGATGTTGCCATTTTCATTCCTCAATACTCCTCCAATGCCAGACAGTCTTGGGTTACCCTGGCTGCTTCCGTCAAAATTTAGTTTAAAAAAACCTTCTAGGGGAGTTACCCAAATTATAGTGGCTCTGATTTTCCTAACCGAAGTGTGTGCAACTATGGCCCAATTTCTCCAGATGTCATCAAATGAAAAAGAGTTGAAAGAAGCCAAGGATTTCAACCAATGGATAGTCATGGTTAAGATACATTCCTTCACTTCTGTGAAGGACCTTTCTTTATCTTGGAAAATTCTAGCATTTCTTTCTTCCCAGATTGTCCATAAGATGGCTGCTTTGAAACATCTCCACATACTCCTTTTTGTTAGGCAAACAAAGGTAGTTGGTGCGAATAATGATTTTACCTCTGTTGGGTGATTCCACCTACATCTAAACAAAACAAACATCCATTCCCAAAGAGCTACAGCAAAGGAGCAAGAAACCAGTAAGTGGTAACAGTCCTCACTATGAGAATTGCACAATACACACCAATTTGGGGACAAACAAATAAAAGGCTTTTTCTTTTGTAAGTTCTCCAAAGTATTGATCTTACCAAGGTACACTTCCCAGCAGAAACAACAATTTTGGGTGGCATAGGCTTTGTCCAAACTTCTTTCACTGGGAAAGGATCAAAAGAGTTGCTCAAACAAAAGGATTTGAAGAACGATGCACAAGTGAAAGACCCTTTTGGGATAGGAGTCCACACCCTTTTATCAAGAGAGGAGGGGTCCAAACACACACTCTCTAGAATGGATAGAAGTTGAGTACCACAAGCAAGCTCCTCCTCCCTTAAGCCCTTACGAAAACCAAAGTCCCAATTCAAGGATAAAGGTAAAACCAGAGGGGGAAAAGGACAGGGATAACCTCCTTTTTATAAAGGGAAAGGGCATACAGAGAAGGAAATACGTCTTTTAGAGGTTTATTTCCCACCCAAGTGTCTTCCTAGAAAAGAACCAAATTTCCAAAACAAGTAGCATACCTTACAACAGCCATGAATACTAAGCACAACCCTATGCCACAAACTTTCTCTTTCCAAAGGCCATCTCCATAGCCACTTTCCCAATAAAGCTTCATTTTTTAAGACCAAATTCCCTAATCCCAAACCCCCTGCCTCTTTACTCCGACAAATTGTCTCCCAATTAACTAAGTGATCCTTTTTCTCCTCCCCTGGTTCCCAAAGAAAATCTCTCATCATTTTTTTCTAATTTCCTAGCCTCCCTATGGGGGATCCTAAACACAAAGAGATAATAGACTGGTAAATTGGCAACTTTCTTTCAAATTTCTCCACCACTGGGTACCAAAATTTGCATTCTCTAGGATTCCCACCCAAAGGTAAACCCAAATAAGTCAAGGGCCAAGAGGAAATAGAGCAGTCCGAATAGTTAGCAATAGACTCAACTTCATTGTCATCCAGACTGACCCCTACTACAAAACTTTTTTCAAAGTTGATCTTTAGATTGGAAACTCTCTCAAAGTATAAAATTATATCCTTAAGATTTCCCACTCTTCTTGGCTCGCTTCCCTCACAAAAAATAATAATATCATCTGCAAACTGGAGATGAGTTACAGAGACATTATTCCTTCCGATCTTCCAACCACCTATTACCCCCTCCCTATCTGCTTTTGATATTAATCTACTCAATACACCTTCCACCAAAGTAAAAAGAAAAAGAGAAAAAGGATCACCCTGTCTCAACCCTTTGCAGGCTGAAAGAAGTCCTTTACCATTCCATTCACTAGCACAGAGTAATGAACCGAAGTGAGGCAACCAATCATCCATAAACACCATCTCTCCCCAAACCCACAAGTTCTAAGTATCTCCAAGAGGAAACTCCAGTCCACCATATCATATGCCTTCTCAAGGTCTAACTTGCAAACAAAGCCTGAACCCCCTGATTTCCTATATCCTCTACACACTCGCTTGCTATTAGGATTTGATCGGTTATCTACCTACCTTGTATGAAGGCTCCTTGAGCTTGACTAATGATAGATGGTAAAACCACTTTGATCCTTAAGGATAGCACCTTTGCTAAGATTTTATAAATGCTCGTCACCAAACTAATGGACATGTAGTCTTTTGGGTGTTTAGCATCGATCTTTTTCGGAATGAGGGCTAAAAAAGTGGCATTTATTCTAGGGCTAATCACATGTCTCTCTTCAAACTCCTTGAAAACCTCAACCAGATCCTCCTTAATTGTTCTCCAATAATCTTGGTAAAAGGCCATGGTGAAACCATCTGGGCCTGGTGCCTTTGATCTATCCATAGAGAACACCGCTTGTTTGATTTCTTCTTCTTCAAAGTTTCTTTCTAGCCAACCTGAAATGCTCTCGTCTAGCCTTGGCCACTCTAATCCTTCTAGCCTCTCTCTAATGTTTAGAGGTCCTCTCATCCTTGATTTGAAGTGATCCACAAAAATCCTTTCTATCTCTTCTTGAGAGGAGAAGATTTCTCCATCAATTTCTAATTTGGTCACAGAATTTTGTCTCCGTCTCCCATTGGCCAAAGCATAAAAATATTTGGTATTCCTTTGTATTTTGTATTCAGGAGTTTTTCTATTCTCTCTTTGGCTGCAGGTAGGACCCTCCCCAAGAGGTGACGGACATTCAATCCAAACTTCTTGAGGCAACAAAAGAAGAGAGGAAGAATAATAATGAAGAGAGATACTAAGGCAGCAATTGCTTGGATGGTGTGGGGGGAAAGGAATAATAGAAATTTTGCTGGAAAGAATAGGACTTTGGAGGAGGTAATAGACAGTATAAAAATCAAAGTTCCCTTGTGGAAAAAGACATTAGACAGCTTTCACCTTTTCTAAGTTACTAACATTCCAAGGGCATGGAAGGAGATAGAACAGTCCTCTAGAGAAAAAGGAAAAATAAGAGTAAAGTGAAACCACTAGAGATTAGCAAAGTAAAACTGAACTTTGATGGAAGCTCTTTGGGAAACTGGGAATGGCAGGAATAGGTCGAGCAATCAAAAACTTGGATAGTAAGATATTGGCTCTATAGTCTATACTCAGGGTCAGCTAGCATTACAAATTCTGTGAAGGCTGAGTTATTGGCTTTGCTGTAAAGACTCCGGTTTGGCAAATCAATTAGGTTTTTGGCAGGTGGAGGTAGAAGGGGATTCAAAAGTAGTTATTTCTTGAGAAAAATGTAACAGACATATTCCATGGACTCTTAAACATATTTTCAGGGAAGTGGAAAGAATAGCAAAGGATATAAATGCTGATTTCAGGTGGATCAAAAGGTGTGCAAATGGGTTAGCAGACACATTATTTTTTGGGGAGTGCAAATGGGCAGCATTTGTACTGGGTTTCTTCGTAATACTGGTTATGTTTTTGGGGGATGACACTCTGATCATCAAATTGTACTAATTCCACATATATTCACTTAATAAATTAATCATTATTGCTGATCAAAAAAAAAAGAAGAGAGAGGGGGATAAAGAGCTGGCACAGCAAAGTTGCTAAAACTTGTGTAGCAATATAAATAAAATATAGGTCTGGTTGCAGTCCCAAAAATAGAAGATGAATTTGCAAATAGGAGTAAAGAGGGAGAACAAAGGTAGTAATATAACCGCTTAAGATTTGCCTGTACAAATCAAACAATATCTATCAAAATGGTTCTTCCAAACTGTTGGTTGTTTTGCCCTAAAACTAGGATAAAAACTTCTCTTTTGATCCCGACACTCGTGAGGACAGACTTAGGAGGTTTTACACTGCACCCTGGATACTGATCATCTACAACCTGATACACTTCCAATCATGTGCCAGAGGAGGCAGATTTGGTTTCAAGCCCAGTAACCAGACGTGCATAAAAAATGAGTTCATCCTAACCCCTTTTTGTTCTTCGAGAAGAACTGCATTATGTTAGAAGTCAAAAAGGATATGCAAGAGGAGTTGTATAAATTTGCACATGATATAGACACAATAGATCAATCCTTGACCAAGACAAAAAAATAATAATAAATAAAATCAAGAATGGACAGGTAAACAGTTGGATACATAAATAGATGATAGATTGATAGAAGAACACACAACCCCTTGTTCTACAAGCAAGTATGCCATGGAACTTAATTCTCTTATTTATCCAAAAAAAAAAAAACTTAATTCTCTTGAAATACTATCTCGCCTCAACATTCAGCTGACTCATGAGTTCTCTGATTTCAGTTAGAGAACCCTCTTTCTATCTTGTTTGTTTGTCTTTGGGCTTCAAAGATTCTATTGTTACAAAAGTGGATGTATTCACTATTCAACTAGGTGCAGATCTTTGAAATCCTTTATGTGTGTGTGCGCGTGTTAATTGCATATCTTTTAAATCTTCGGCCATACTCGTTAGGAACAGGCAACAAAATTAGGAATTACAAAAAAAAAATGCCGGTTTCATCATCATCACCAACCAATCACAGAATACAGACATTTCATAAAACTAAATTTAGGAGAAAACTAATAGAACCCGAATAAGAACAAGCTAACTTATAATTTCCCCGCATATTCAATAGAATATTAGGAAAACAAAAAAAAAACTACAAAAAAATATATATCCATCTATGTCAACCAAATACAGCAGACAAAAAACTAAAAGAAAAGTAAATTCCTGGCAAAATTATTTCGACAAAACTACCAAAGTCCAACTAAGGATAAGCTAAAATAGATTACTTATCACCACAAAATATGATAAATGAAACTTAAAAACAAGGAAGCAAGGTTTCCTGTTTCGCAGCCTTTCCGCACCAAATCAGTCAGTGAAATAATGACAACTACAAACCACCATGGACAAAGAAATGGAGAGAGAGAGAGAGAGGGAGAGAGATTGAACCTTTGGGGTGATGAGATGACAACCTCGTCTTTGTGGGGGAAGAGTGATCGTCTTCTGAGCCCATTTAGGAGCAGCCATGGGAAAAGCACTATGTAGCGGTTGGCCCAACGTTGTCGGAGTGTGCTGAGACTTCACGCTAATTGGGGGCGAGAAGGGTTTTGGTTTTGCCGAGATGAAAATTGAGGCTTGCATTGGGAAGAATCCTGACCAAAGTGAACAAGTATAACAGGAGATGTACGGTGTGAGGGGCAGCAGAAAAAGCAGAAATCCTATTTTAGAATTCATTTTTTAATTATTTGTTTTGGCAAGTTTATAAAGATTGATGGACCGCTAAGGTTCTAACCTCTTGTTTTAAGTGGTGGAGATGCCATTTTGGCTGCCGATTAACTGACACGTCCGACTTGGCATCCGAGGTGTATAGATAAGATACTTTGGATCTGTATCGGGTTGTATCATACCGTATCGATAGATACAACATGTCTAATTTGATAAAATTGTACATTTAGCACTTTTGGATTGTTTTTTATTTTTAATACAATAAAAAATAGTATTATGAAAACTGAAATAAATAATTTAAGATTTAATTTTTCCAAAAATTTAATAAAACTAAAAATTATAAAAATAATATATCTCATCTACCTTAGATGATTTATATATTTTATTTTATACATAATTATATGTTAAAAATGAAAACATAGTTATTATTTGAAAAAAAAATTATTATATAAAAATGCTAAACAAATAAATTTTTCCAACAAAATCAATAAAAACTGAAAATTAAATATAATTTATTTTATCTATCTTAAATGATTTATTTGTTTTATTTTACAATTATGTGTAAAATAAAAACATATTTACTATTTAAAAAATAGTTGTTATTTAAATAAAATACTAAATTAATAAGTATTCCCAAAAATTAAAAAATAATTTTATTTAAATAAAATACTAAAAATTATAATATTTAAATAAAATACTAAATCTCGGTATTATTTATTGTAATATTTCTCTTCATATAACCTATTGTGTATTAGAATCTCGGTATCGGACCATATCGTATATTAGAATATACGCGTCGATACGGACCGATACACGGGTGATTGGCATTTCCAAACTTTCGTGCGTCTAATTTGAAAAATCTGCAACCGACAAGGTTTGAAAACCAAGTAACCGTGCGCATGTACACAGAGTTGAACACGTCCGTATGCCATTAAGACAACCGTTAGTTTTTGTTATAAAGTGAAATAAATATTTCTTTATTTAATGCTAATCCTAACAAATAACTTATATTTATGTTTAATAATTCCAAGTAAAGATTAAATAATATTATTTAAATTTAATATTTAATAAACTAATGGAATAAATAATTTCTCAAATCCGCATTCATATCAAAATGAGGCTTTTAATCTCAAAAAATTTATACAAATAAAAATATTAATAATAGAATAATAATTTTAGTACTTAAAATTTATAAATTTGAATGAGAAATGTATCTTCAAATTTTTATAAATTATTAATTAATATTTTAATTTGCATTAAATAAAAATGTATTTATTATTTATAAAAATAACAATTTATTTCATAAAATTATAAAAATTATAATATTAATAATAATATAATAAATTTAGTAATTAAAAATTATGAATTTGCATACGATATGTATCTTAGAAATTTTAGTATCTTTGAGAGAGTTTAATTTAAGATTATATATTTTTATAAATTATTAATTGATATTTTAATTACATTTTATAATAACATTTTTATTGTTACAAAAATAAAATATTGTTTACCAAACATTTGAGAATTAATTTTTAGTTGATTATTTAGTTAATGTTAAAATGTAAATATGTAAAAATAAAAAGCAATTGATATAATAATTACATATAATACTTGCATGTGTTTGGTGACATGAACTTTAATTGAAAATAAATAATAGCTTTGTACATGTATTAATCTGTGAAAATTTATATAATATGTTTTAGGACTCTAGATTGATAGATTATCAATAAAAATTGTATGATTTCTATGCATCCCGCTATATTAATTGTAATATATTTATTCACAAATACCATTAGAATATACATTTCCTATGCATTTATACATTAATTTTGACTATTTTAACCTTAAATGTAATGTTATTAATATATTTAGGGAATTTATATGCATTTCCTAATGTATCCAAGCATCTCCATATTTTTTCATCCGTATCCATGCATTTCCAAAGCGTATCCGTATCCGTACCCGTATCCAGGTGGTCCGATACGATACTCGATACCTATATTTTAATCCTTGACGATACCCGATATCGATACTTTGATCTTTGGCATTGAGAATATCTCCCCATAAAATAGTGTATAAGCGGGGAGATATTCTCAATGCAAGGATATAAAGGCTGCTAGAACGGGCTTTGCCCTGACCAAAGCCGAACTTGGAATAAAGTTGTGCAATCATGCATCAAGTGGATCTTTAAGTAGAAGATAGTCAAAGTCCCAAGGATAAGATCTTCGAGAAGGTGCTCCTACGCTCAAGTTAGTAAATGATGGTAAGGGTGTTGGATTGGGCTGGGCTATCAAGAGCAAGCTGGTCCGAGCTAAAAAGAGCAATATAGGAGCAGGAGAGCTATAGAGAGATAGATGTCTGGCCTTGGGCAGAGATACCTTTAAATAGCAATGTGTCATAACTCAATGAGATATGCTTTGTTTCTTGTGTGTTGCTTACTCAGAGAGGCCAAGGTCCATAATCTTTGAAGCTTATCCTCCCGAAGGTCTTTGCAAGTCGCCCTTATCGCCCACTCAATGTTACTGACATGGCTGAGCTTGTCGAGTATGGCGTCCACGTGGCAAGTACGACAGCTTGGATACAGCTCGAACAGGATCAATATGCAAGGATCCACCGACACTGATCAAGAATCACTGCTGAACTACTAATGTTCTATCCTTTTTCAATTTGATGGCATGCCCCAAATCCCAAGAGATTGACTTAGATGATCAATATAGAGGTTAAATCCAGTGAATTTGTCGATTTCACAAGGAGCGTGTAGCTTCTAAGGTTTTCACTTACCAAATTTACATTGTTCTTTTTTAGTAAACTTTGGGCCCCATAATAAAGTTAGTTTCCTTGGATATCACTTACCTGGGTAAGTGATTCCCATCTCCCAAGTGGGCAAGTAACTTTTCCACCTTGGGG